GTTCCGTGGTGTAGCGGTTATCACGTCTGCTTTACACGCAGAAGGTCGCCGGTTCGATCCCGGTCGGAACCACGATCCCTTCGTTCTTTTTTTTATATTTTTACTTTACAACTAAAAAACACTCTATTTGAAATAATTAAATATGAAAAAGTAAACGGAAAAAAAAGATTAATTAATAATACCGTATTACTAATTAAAAAATATAGTCACATAAAAATATACTTTACATTAATTCAATCTCAATAATTCTAAAATATAAAAAAAAAAAAAATATAAAAAGATTTTATATATGCATAAATTTCCTATAAAAATAAATTTCAATTCCATATGACTATCTCATTCAAATCAATAATTTTTTTCTGTTCTTTATAATTATGTGGAATTTTACAACATGTTGAACAAAATGAGAATAAATATCCAGAATCGCGCGACAGGAACTCGAAATTGGTATTCGGTTCGTGCGGTCGCGTTTGTCTTGTCGCGTATTCGTGATGAACGGTGTTCCTTTCGTTTCTTTTCGTTCCTTCATTCACTGTTTCCGTTCTGGCCATCTGGCAACCCACCTGCACCGTGCTGTAGCCAACTGCTTCGTTTCTTTGGCTTCGTGTAACGAGAGCAAGTCCGGTTTTTAGTCGGGTATCGGCCATTCAGCGCTCCTTTTTTAGCCGGTATTTTATATCGTGACGACAAGATGGAGAGCATAGGGAATATCGATGTGTCTTTGAACAACCGCGTTTGTTCTTCCCTTTTTCATCATTTTCTTTTTTCATGTTTTCTCTTTGTCGTGGAATCTATCGAATCTATTTTATCGAACAATTTTTAATATGAAATCGAAATTGCGAAATTATATTAAAGATTCAATTATGAATTCGAGTCACATTCTCATAAAACATGAATTAAACATATTTTTAATTTCATATAAACTTAATATCTATATTATACTTTACAAAATTTAATTATAATATAATTTAATATATTCTTAATTAATATTAAGAATTTTTCTAAAAGATAAAGTATATAAAGTATATATAGATGGCAAGTATATATATATGGCAAATTTATGTATTTCTTGAAATAAACTTACGTAAAACATGACTTTCCGAATGCATGTTTTCGAATCCATAAAAATTGAGACGCGAAGTTTACCATTTGTCTCTAAAACGGACGAATGCACGCTTTATAATTCACTTAGTAATTACACGGTGGAGAAATTGGGTCGAGTATCACGAGAACACTTTGAGCTACCTTTAAACTCCATTGTCCTTGAACAATCCTTATCTTTCTACATACATTGATTCATGTGACTTTCCTCTTCTGCGCTTCTTATCTTTTTATACGAAAATCCATGCACGATGAAACCTCGCATTGTCCATTATCTGTTCGAAGAAAGAAGTTCTGAACTAATCTATCTAAAAGAGATTATATTTTCAAATAAAAATTTTATTTCTTAGTTTGATCAAATCTGCTGCATTTTTTACTCCCACTTTTATCTTCGTCATCCACAAAACGACGAAATGAATCCGTGATCGAGAAGGTCAGATAGGATCGACATGGTTCGATCGGTGCCCAATAAAAAGGATTAGGTAACAACCTGGTCAAACGGTTCGAGTTTATCATGCATCCCTTCTCTCTGTAACTGCAGGTGGCCCATTCAGAATGCGAGATGATTGGCCAGAAGTAGTCGGTCATGAATAAGACGCAAGGACCCGTACCTCCCGCGTGGAATGATCAGTTTCAATGACAGGTCCGTCTGAGGCGATACATTAGGTTTCCATTTGGTTTTTTTCCATGTGCGTCCCGAGGGCATTACCTGTCAGGAACCAGCGTGAAATCTCGAGAAACCAGTCGCACGGTTGTTTAAAATTACTTTGATCCGTCTCCACCTGCACCTCCTTTTCATTCTTACCGCTGAACTTCACCTTACTTGACCTTAATCTATCTTTTACACTTAAGTGAACAATTAAATTATGTTTAAATAATGAATTTAAATGACAATTTAAATAATGATCAAGTGAAAATCACATACGTTATTTCCTTTTGTTTCTTCTTTGATGAGATTTTTCACACTGTTCTTTGATACAATAGCGTTTATTCACGTTTTAGTCATATCATAAATTTAAAAGTTTGTATCCATCATTAATATAGAGTGATGAAACGATGCAGAAGTTTCTCTTAAATAAGAGAAAAAGTAAATGAGCTTAAAAAGTTCTTCATAAAGGGGCAATAAATCCTCGTGGAAATTGATTAACACTAATGGTTATACAGCTTCCTTAGTCTCTGGAAAAAAAGAAACTTTCTCGTCGGTAATTAAAAGCAATATTTTTAATGAAGCCGCGAAGCAAACCGATCTTATAACTTCTCATCAATAAAAAACATTTCAGATTCGTGTAGAACTACATTAATACCTAATTTTACAATCATTACAACAAAATCCAATTAATCCATTCTCATTATTTTTTATCCTATACATTCCCTATATTTCATCCATCACGCTTTATTCCCTATTTTAAATCTCTTTAAGGAACGAGAAAGAAAGAAAAGAAAGGAAAGAAGGCGATGCGAATATAGAGAGGAAAGGCTTGGAAAGGAAAGTTGGCAAGTGTCAACGCGGTCACGGTGCAAAGGCAATGCACCGTGGCTGCAGCAGCAGCAACGAATGAAGGAAAAATCGATGCATCGTCTACGATTGTGGCCGAGCAATGCCGAAGTCGGCTCAGCTGTGCCGAATCGGAGGAACCAGCGCGAAACTGCGCGATTGCTGCACCGGATGCCGTCACGAGAGAAGCTTTCCGGCGGGCTGAGATGCCGGAAGTAGCGTTCGACGATTCGATTGCGCCTCGACGAGTGAAAAGTTCGAAACGCCGATCAATCGGGCCGAATATGCATATATGTTGGATTGCTAACTTTCTTCGCGATATCTGG